GTAATAAAAGCCGAGGGAGGTCAACAGTGATCACTGACTGTTTTAGGAGCTTTTTGAGATTAAATAGAAGAAAATACATAACATTAAACATGTTAACAACACATAAGCCATATTAAACGCAGACACTTTAGGCCCGGAAGTAGGATTCGTCACGTCATCACTTAACGACCGGATGGTGCTTCTTACAAGACTAAGAAGACCTGTATGTGTGAAAGACTGGAACAGCTAAGCATTTAGAAATGAAAAAAGAAAATATTTGTATTGAAATATAACATACTCAGGTGCAACAATGCTTCTTTCAGTTTCAGTCAGAAGAGTTTACAAAGAACTTGCTGTGGAGATGCTTCATAGTTGGGGAATTAATGTGATGGCTGTGAGGCAAAGCGGAGAAGTAGTCTCTCTGTCACTTTCAGTAAAATTAGAAACCACTGGGTGGAAAGAATTCCAGTTGTTTAGTATACTTGTATACTAGTATACTATTATTTTCCACATAAAGATTACAAATAATAGAGTCTGTAAACCATGCAAACAACCTGTTTGCTTTCTCTGTTGTAATATTGAGAATTTGACACCTATTGTTGTAGGTTATGTTGGAATCAAATTTCTAACCTGATTTATAACACTTATCTGGCTCAACCATCCGGATGTTAAAAGGTCTCTGCTGCGTTTAGTTCAGTTCTGTGCACTCATTACTGAAATGTTATGACAACACTTCCCTGCATTCTGGCTCCACTAGCTCCTAATGACTGCTCTGAGCTTAGCTGTCATGGATACCCTGTGAGAGCAATGGCAGAAATGTCATCCACAGCATGGAGGCAGGTCAGCCATAAAAGGAGGAATCATACATGGATGGATGGTCACACCATTTAGAGTTGAGTTTTGAAAACAGTGGTCAAGGAAAATATCAAGTCCAAAGGGGAAGGACATATTCACATGCTATTAATGTTTTTATTTCCAGTACTAAATTCCAAAAATGGTATTTATTGTCTTGCATGTGTTACAATGTCTTCATTGAGGGTTTTGTTAAAATAGGAGCTCACAGACTGGTAAAATGAATACATGAAACTGTTTAAAAAGATAGATAGAAAATAAAAGATAGACAAAATAGAAGTACAAGTACACTGGGATCTCTTGTCAAATTCATGATTAATTGTTTATAAGTTGGATTTGGACCACAGTGCTGAACTAGACATCATCAGTGAACTGCAGTGCATGGTCAAATCTATCCATAAAAGCCTGAAAAAAGAAGGAAGGCTCTCAAAGAATTACTACTGTCAATACACCAACAGTATAGCCAGTCAGAAGCCTGTGTATCAGTTGAAGACTTTGGGCAGCTATAAAATTCTAACTTTGTAAAGATTTCTTAAATTATCATGGCCTAATGTAGGCCATATTCAGTTAGTTGTTTCCTTTGCTACAGAAAAAAGTATAAAGCAGGTTAAAGTTCTGTAACAGAGTAATTTCTATTATTAGTCTGTGAACTTTGAAATATTGCTACAAGACACTACATCAACCTCTAAACTACATAATTTGTGATCAAATATATCTAGCGCTATTAAGATATCTATCCCATTTCTGAGTGCCCAGTTTGATTGTAGTGTGGTCACTAATTGTCCATATTCTTTCAACTAGGCGTGTGGATAGACTGACATACCCAGGACAAAGTAAAAGCTGTTAAAAAACATAAAGAAATATTATTTGAAAAACAAAGATGTAGACATGTTTCATAGCACAGGCAGTATTTCTGAAGGTTCTGTATCACTGGTTATTAATATTACAGGTGGTAGGGGTTTTCCTGGCTTTGAACAGGCACTTGTGTGTGTGTGTGTGTGCGCGCGCGTGTAAGCTATTTTGCGATTTCTTGATAAAGAAAAATGTTGGTTAGACTTAAACATATAAATGGGCAATTATGGAATAGATTAAAAATAGAACTCTATTATAATGTTGATGGCTGCTCTTTAGTGCTGACTGAAAACTTTGTGAGCAGAGAGAAAGTTGAAAAATCCTGGATAGAGAAAATTAAGTGATGCAAGTATTAACACCTGTGTTTATCTACTATTTCATATCAAATGACTGCTATAAAATACGTCCATTGACATTTTAGAGAACATTTACTCACAGTTTAAACTACAACAACTCAATGGTGTCATTACAGTCATCTCACAACAGGCTCCACAACTTGTTATTCATGTTTTGAAAAGACCAGTAAAAATCAAACACACACACACACACACCTCCCTCTAACCTAATTGCTCTATGTGTGTTTAGAGTCCTGCTAAGCTGTTTGAGTCAGCAGTAACAGAGTATCCCACAGTAGCTGCCAACACTGAGCTGAAGAGAGTCAACAGGTGGTCTAAGCTTAATACACCCACAGAAATATGAACAACTGGATGGTGACTGGTGTTATGAGACAAAGCAAACTCTTTATGCTGAACTGTTGTATGAAGCAGAGCCCAAGCAAAACAATACATTAGAAAAAACATAAATGAAAACACACAAAAATCCAGATTAAGAAATCTACACTAACAACACTTGGTTAGTGAGTCTAAATAAACCATATGGGCATGAATGGTAACTGCTCGTTTACAGGATAGACTAAAACTATCCATCAATCATTCATCCACTTTCTTTCCACTTTCCACTTGAGGATGACATGGGAGCTGGAGCCTATGTCAGCTGTCATAGGAAGAAAGACCAATCTGAATTTAAACATTAACACTAACTAACACAAACTGTGGTTGAATAATAAGAAACTAAGGCTAGTTAGTTTATTTTATACAGTGCTCAAAACATTTAAATGAACACTCTTTAATCAGAGTATAGAACCAAGTCAGTCCAATTTCTTGGCATATTGATGTGGTCAGTTGGTCAGTTTAAGCTGATTAGGTGTCAATAAAAATGCCTACAGGTGTGCATAAGGGGCAACAATGAGACAACCCCAAAACAGGAATAATTTTTTACTAGTTTTGCAAGGGTCAGTGTCCCCACTGGTCACATGAGCTGATACCTAGACCCTACAGAGGTTGCATAGCTCCTCCAGGATGACATGTCAATACATGCCATTGCCAGAAAGTTTGGTTTGTCTTCCAGCTCTGTCTCAAGTACATGGAGGAGATTCCAGGAGACAGGCAGTTACTCTAGGAGAGCTAAATGGGTTCGTTGAAGGTCCTTAACCCAGCAGCAGGACTGGTATCTGCTCTTTTGTACAAAGAGAAATAGGATGAGCACTGCCAGTGCTACAAAATGACACCCAGCAGATCACTGGTGTGAAACAGACTTTATGAGGGTGGCCTGAAGGCCCAATGTCCTCTAGTGAGCTATCGTCAGGATATCAAGGGACAAACAGACCTTCACAGGCAACAGCACCCTGATTGCCATTAGGTATCACCACTGTAACATTCAATGCTCATGCAACGGGTTCTCCTGATGCACAGTAACGCCCGGCCTAATGTGGCAAGACTATGCAGAAAGTGCCTAGCATAGGCACTGGC